AGAGCTCCAAGTTCTCCACAAAATTTGTCCGCCTCATTCCTCTCATACTCTCACCCCTGTCCACGTCCACTGCTACAGCTGCTTACTATTGCCTCGGTTGTACAGCTGTTGGCAGCAGTGAAGAGGTGGTGAGTTTTCAGAGAGGAGACACGAGGAGTGCAACCAAAATCAGGATCAAGTTCTGACCAAAGTTCACAACAAGTTCGTGCAGTTGACAACCCTTGAACAAAAAATTCTCAGTTATTGGACATCATTTTTTGAGAGAAATGCAAGTGTATTTCTTGCCCATGATGCTGGTATGCCTTTAAGACTAAATAAGTACTGATGGGGTGGACACTGTTGGCTTAACAGTAATCTGTGCTAGTTGTTAAAAGAGATTATGCTGGGGCTACTGCTTAACCAGCCTAGACAGTTGATAGAAACAAGCAGTCGAGCATTAAAGTAATGGTCAAATCTCTGATGAATAGATTAGTAACAAGTCTGTGGGGAAGGATGGATGGAAAGAGGAATAGATGAGATGAGAAACAGAGGAACGGGTGTCATGGTATCACTACAGAGAAACACCTTCCACCTCTGCACACCTTTTCTCTCTTTCCTCCTGTCTTCGGGGCACTTTCTGCCGACGGAAACCTGACAGGCGTTACTGATTGCACCATAAATGACCTAGTTGCCATAGATGCAGGTTTTATAGAGGCAGTGTGAAGGGCCGCCCGTAACGATAACGATGTGAGCATCCACACTGATGAACTATAACAGGAAGTCACTCTGGTAGGAGTGTTGAAAGAGGACCAGCTGCATTTAAATGACCTCAGATATCACTGACTGAGTTAAATCCCTAACCGGTGCTCATTCACAAAGTTAGCCTCTGATAATCTGCTGACACACCTGACAGTCACAGCAAGAAAAGTAGCATATGGGCCATGTGCTACCGGAAGAAGGGACTTAATACTTGGTCACTGAGTCTGTCCTCTTAGCTTCTTGCCTTGCCACATCTATGTGCGCTGATGTCCAGTCACCCTATCCTCTTCATAGATACAGTGACGGAGTGGGAGTTTCGACACGATACGCTGCTGTGGAATTAAGGAACTAATTAAACAGAATTAAGAAAACATGATCAAAAATACAACAAGAATATGTACGTTACGTTTGGTTATTCAAATATTTCTATATAGCTTAGAAATTGTCTTTTCCCAGTTTTAAAGAGTGCATTATATTCAGGTGAGGTCATTTTCCGAACTCATTATGCTGCTCTAGCTGATTGATATGACACCAAATGAATTTGAGTCTTGTCATATCTACATTAATCATAATCTAATTCACATCACAGCCCTAATTATTTCTCAAACTTCCCAAAATATCGTTAACATCGCTGATTTCCAGTATCCAAGGTATCCAGTCAAAAATATTATGATTTTATTATTTTGGCAATATTGCGCTGCTCTGTCCTGCTTCCAGATGCTCAGACAAGGTGGGCTGAGCATTTGTCTTCCAGCAGAAGGATGGTTCTGCAGACGCAGATTTTCTTTTCCTCCTCCTGCTGCTATTAATCCAAATTAGCCTCCTTTGGTCACTTTGTCATTCTTTTTCTCTTTCATTTGTACCTTTCAACTCCTCCTCTCCACATTACTGCCAACCCCTGTAAAAATGACTGGAGAGGACTTGAAGAGGATGGTGATGATATATACTGTAGATGCACCACTCAAAGAACTGAGGACAGTGTAGAGGCCAGTTAAACATCTCCAGATTTTCACGGAGGAGATATAAAGCTGCTTTCCCCCCTGCCGGCCTCACATCTTCATCCATTCTCTTAATCTTTTTCACGCTCTCTTTCTTTTTCTGTCTTCTTCGCCATAACATCCCCCTTTTTCTGTCACTACTCCTCAATCAGCCCCCTTCGTGACACGCACATTAATGCACACACACACGTGGATGTACACACACACACGCATCCCAAGTCAATTTCATGGGACATATTTGCTGTCAGAGCCAATCAATGCAGTTTAGACGAGCCTGTGTGCTGTATGGCTATTAAACGGTGGTCAAAGTGGGGTTTCGTAGGGTCTCAGAGTGTGTGTGTGTGCCTGTCTGCGGCAAAACAGCTGCACATGTTGAAAAAGTCGGGGGAAAGAAAGGGAGGATTGGAAGAAGGTGGCTGGAAGAAGAGAAAAGAAGTTGGATGTGGGAGACTGGGAGGAAATGGGAGGCAGGGAGGAAGTTGAAAAGAGCAGAGGGAGACAGACAAAAGAAGGTGAAAGATGGAAATAAATATTAGTTAATGGGAGTAGGGAGGAGACTGGCAAGGGGTGGTGGATACTAGTTGTGAAACAGGACGCAATAAATTCTGGTGACTGCTGTTCATCTGGCTGGAGTTTAGCCTTCAGAGTAGCTTTATTAATGGAAAGCCAACTTTTAATGTGTATTTTTAGCCACAGTGGAAGGGCATTTCTACAATGCACAAATGCACTTATTGTGGCTCTATGCTTTTGGTTATGAAGGTTGTATGTCTTTTATTTATTTCAAAATCTTAAAACTCATCTACAAAACATTTGGTTGTGCGTTTTATGGCTCATGAACCAACAGAATCTTCACACAATTGCTCAAGATGCCTTGCGTGAAAAAATATCAGGAGAATTTCACTTCAACTCAGCTTATGATGTATGACTTATGACAAAAATGTGCAAAAATCCCATATCACTTTAATGATGGATTTCCACATCGCTGGATTTCATCTCGGCACTAAAAACGCAGGGTCTTAAACTTTTTTCTGTCCTGGGATCCACAAGAGAAATTTGTCTGGGCCTGAGACGCGAGAGACCCGTCAGAAACAGAACTGACCCGCGGAGTGAGAAACACTTGCACTAAAGGACTTCCACATGGCTCTGAAGACTGCTCAGTCCGCAGTAATCATTGTTGAATAATAACAACCTGATATTACTTGATGCAACAGCAGGAAAGAGGCAGGGGCACACACACACACACACACACACACGCACAGAAACGTGCACGGCCACCACGCACGCGCACAGCTGCACACACCCTTCAGTGTTTGAAAGAGAGTGAGATATAAATCACACTTCTGCCAGATGCAGCGATAAAAAGTGTGTGTGAGAGAGCGTCAGAGGCAGAGAGAGTGTGTGTACGTATTATGTGTGTGTGTGTGTGTGTGTTGTGGTCAGTGTTTGCGGTGAGGTGCAGTAGAAAGTCTATTTAACACGAGGCATTAACTCTGCTAATCATACCCAGATGACCAGAAGCAAGCACAGCTACGGTGTACGTGTGTGTTGTGTGTACGCGTTGTTTGTGTGAGAGTGTGTGGTGACGGTATCATGACTAACTTCCACTCAACAGAATATGAAGTTCTTCCAAAAAAGCCCATGTTGAGGTCTGAACATTCCCGACAGAGCCCTTAATTAGTCTACGTGTGTGCGCCTGTATGTGTGTGTTTCCGTGCACGTGTGTCAA